GAGCACTCGATCCCCTCGTCCAGATCGTCAGGAGTACACAGGTTGTGCTTTCCCTTCTAAGATTTCCCTGAGTCCTGAATGCCTCCCGGACCGCTCAGAACTGGTTACTGCAAAGCTTTGCAGTCAAATCGCTTGGTAATGAATTGTAGTTACTTCAAAATGTATTGGAAGAGAATTTGAATTGTGCTTAAAAGTTTGACCGTCCTCACGTCTCCTGCTAATTAATGGAACTGTTTGAATTCGTGATTTTAATGGACTATTTCATTTTGCGTTGACTCGGAACATTTTATGGGGCTTAACATTATTGAATAAAAAGTGGGGAACAGACATTTCTTGTCAACAAGATTTTACTTGTTCATATGAAGATGAAACATTCAATTTTTCATTTTTATTTTTGAGATTTATGTGATAAGTAGAATTATATTTTGAAAACTTGGAATTTGAATTAGAATTAAAAAATTCAAAACCCAGGAAGAATAGAAAAAATAATTTAAAATGTCAAAATGAAGCATTTCAAAGGCCTCTGAAATGTGGGTTGAGGCTTTCTTAGGCTAAAAGAATTTTGATAAGTGACATGGTTTTGGAAAGCATTTAGTCAATCCAAAGTGCATTTAAAATACTCTTCGACAGACAAATTTTATGTAGCTCTGCTCCAGCAAAATTACAGAATATGGCTGATATTAATATACTTAGATTAACCCTCCATATAGTCAATATGCATGGATGAATATATCATGTCAGCAATATTCTAAACATCATACATTTATCATATCCATACAGAAACACCATATCTGCACACTCAAATAAAGTAATTGTGTATGTAATTGGCAGTGGTTAACAGTAGCCATTTTTATGTGCTTGTAGCAGTTTTAATATGAGCAGATGGATGTGCTCATACATTGGAGTAGATGAATAAAGCAAAGTGTGCTAAAATTTGCAGTCAGAGTAGAAAGCAGAATTTGTGCCAACATTGCTAACTTAGGGCACATAAATCCCGGAAGACTGGCTTGAAGTGATATGGTTTGTATGGCATATGGAATATATATGGAATATATATATGGAATATGTATGGAATGACTGCATTTTTCAGACTAAAATACAGAAATGTGCAGTTTCTTTTGCATTAGTGATCTGATTTTCTTCTTCAGTCTGCAAGGATATTTTTTCTTTCATAACGACAAATAGAGTTATTCTTTCCTTTAAAAAATGACTTCAAGAGCAGGTACTCATTTTTCCAAGTTCCCTTTTGAACCCAAAGTTCTTGGGCACTGAGAGAGAATTCAAGACATTATCATTATATACATGCCTGGCTCTCAAATTTGTCCTATGGGCCACTGCCAGAGACAGGACCCTGAGTTCGGTGGGCTTCAGCTTGCATCTCTATGACTGGTCTTACATATACGCACACTGTGTCCGTGTTACGCTTCAAATCCCAAGAAACCTCCCGTTTACAAAGGACAAATGCTACATTTGAAGTCCCTCCCTTCACAGGTGCCCTTGGTAGAGCTGTCACTGTAGGTACACCGGGAGCAAGAAAACAGAACCTGTCACCTGTGCAAGCCATGCTGTTCTCTTGCAGGTGCCAACAACACCGTCCAGAAAATTGCTGCTGCCTCATGTTTTTTCAGAATTTCATACCAGAACCCTCAACTGGGCATAGTCTCACAATCAGTTTACTTCTTCGCCTAGCGAAGGGAAAAACCCAACTCCTTTTTCCAAAAGAACGAGTGTCTTTCACAAGGAATCTTTCACTGCAACTATCAGTGTCACTAGGAAATGAAAACTTACGGCAAGATGCAGGAAAATGTTATTTATTTTATCACCACAACTCTATAGGCCCGGTCACCCGAGATATAAACAAAATGAACACTTCTGTAATTTTTTTAAAAACAAGTAGTTAAGCTAGTGGAAAATGAAGAGGTGTATGTCTGACACTGAAGAAAACCCCTTTCGTAACTCACTTCATCCTACTTTTTAAGAATTCTTTCTGCAGCAGCTTTCTTGCCACAGTGCTCCTACATATGAAGGAGCTGTTTCCCAGCAAACTACTGCAGTGAAAAAGTGCAACAGCTCTTCAGCACTAACTTTCTTCACCTGGTTGCTCTTCGTTAAATACACCTACAGGTGATTTTGGTTAGTCCCCTTCCAAAGCAGAAGTTAGTGCAGAATGGCTAGTCTGAGTGATTTCTGACGTAGACACAAAAAAATTCCGCTCAGTAGAGCAGATGTTTCCTGCTTCTAACAACGACTGAACATTGGTGGGCCAGATGCAAGAAAATACTGGATTTTAGCAGTTGCATCCTTTAATGGCAATTACAGTTCAGCAAACATGACTCATAGCAGTTTGTATAAAACCTCCGAGTTTTTTCAATCCAGTTTCATTTCCAGAAGGAAATCTGGATGACCGACTCATGCAGACTCTCTCCGGCTCCTTCGCCAGTGGCACCGTCAGCTGCCACCCGGGCTGGGACCTACCCACCAAACCTCTGCGAGTGTCACATCGGCACTTGCTCTAAGCTAGATGGCTGCTCCCCTCCCTGTAACAAGCACAGGCTCATCCAAGGTTCCTCCCTTTTCAAGACAGGCACCTAAAACAAGCGGGAGGGATTGCCTTCTGGAAGTCTTTTCGCATTTCTGTGTCGACCTTAGGGGGACTAGTGACTAGTTTAAAATTAGCCACTTAATTCCTAGAGGGGCAAAAGTAGGTGAAATGTATTAATTAATGTTTTGGATTAAAAAAATTATGCTGGGGAAATATACTACATCGCATAAATTGTAAAAAGGCTCTCCCACAGGACAAATGTATGCAAATAGGGTATAAATATTTCGTACATTTCCAATGAGATATCTGTCAGTGAAATTATTATAAGCATGAAGTTGAGTACCCTCTGTCAAGTCATTCAACTAAAATGTATTAAAGCCTCCAGTGAATGTAAAACATTGTGCCCCAATTCCCCAGTCCAACTGATGCAAGCAGACCTTCCTCCCAGCTCCACCAGTGTTAACGAGATCCCGCGCAGTTACAAGGGTCTGCAAATACAGATGAGACTGCAGACCATCGCTGTTGCTTTGAGACTTCATATTCCCTGAATTTTTAGGATAAAGAAAGAAACTTACCTGTTCAAATCACGATGTATGATTGGTTGTGTAAGATTGTGGAGGTATTCCATGCCTTTGGCAACATCTACGGCAATGATTAATTTAGACTGCAGATCAAAAGTTCTGTATTTTGAAAAAAAAAAAAAAAATTACTTGAAGTTAATAAACAGACAAGAATTATCTGTAAATTATTTTTATCTGTAAATCATGAAACCCTTAAAATTGTTTTAAATACAAAATAATGTTACATAATCTATGTAATGTAAATGTATACGATGTAAAATAATGACTAAATAACAATTTTGTTATTACTTATTAATTTCCCTTGTACACCCTATCATCTGAGTCAAAGCTAGAATTTGTCTAGTGTGTTCCTTTCTCTATTGTTTTATACTGAAACGAATAACGTTTACATCAGCATAGGTTTACTAGTCTTCCGAATTCGGTACCACAAGCCCAAGCAGAGCGGAATACCTCTTCTGTTCATGCAGCAGGGAGAAGAGCGATCCTCCAGAAATATACTGAGTGACTATAGCAAACTGACTTGGGTCGTCTAAGCAAGCTCCCACAAACTGGATGACACACGGATGGTTCAGTCGGCAGAGAATGGAAACTTCACGGCAGAACATGTCCACATCAGATTTAGAACAGTAGGTATTGGCTCGATAGCTTAGAATTTACACGAGAGAAAACAGTAAGGCAAAAAGATACTAAAATATGTTTTTTTTAAATACTTCAAACTAAGTTATTAATCAAACGAGACGGAAAAGTCTGATAAACTTACCGTTTGATTGCGACAATTTTATTTCTGCATCGTCCCTTATATACTTTTCCAAAAGACCCTAAAATGGTTTAAAATAAATAAGCACAATTATTATGTACTTACGAACACCAGGCATTTAAAACGGATGCATTCTTATTTCTGGTACCTGAGCCGATAATCTCATGGAACTCTATTTCAGAGAGCTGAAGGTGGAAATGTGATGGCAAACCAGCACGGAGGAGAAGAACATCTGCCTTTTCTGCAAAAGAAAACACTTATCCTATTTGTAAAATGCGGGGCCCTGGGGAAGGACAGAATATAAGCATTGAACTTCACAGAACCGTTGCACAGTAAAAGCTGATTTTCCTCCTGTAAATTGGTTGACTGGTAAACCTATTCCCTTTTCTTTCAGTAAGCCCCGTAAACCTCAATAACAGACAAATACTTGCAATGCTACAGTGGCCCTGGGCTTTCTTGGCTTTAAAATCTTATCAGTGGTGAAAACTGTCCCATAAACATATTCTGCCTGCATCATGTCACGGCTGCGTAGAATTCTTTATACAGAGAATTAGTTCCTTTTTTTCTCTCTAGCTAGTGCTCATTACTGATGCAGGGGATGTTATTCCAGATCTGACTGACTCTTTAGTGACATGTGGAATCTAAATTTTCCAACTTAATTTAGTTAGCAGACTTCTCTACCTTGTTGATCTTTTTAGTTTATTACTATAAAATTTATCAGAATATTTCTAAATGGAACATTTCAATGCTGCTATGTAAAGGATGTAAGGGTTTGATTATATCCAGAGTGAATACTTGAAATGGAAAATTGAAAGCAGCACGAAAAATGAAATATTTTGAAGTACAAATATTCATCTGAATGTTTTATCTATATGTGTTTCAGATTAACACAGATTATTTTTTGAAGAACTTTTCTTGTAAAGATAATCCAGGCATTTTACAGTGGAATTCAATACGATATTTGTTTGCATTCATGGGATGTGCGTATTTCACTAGTACTAATTCACAATCACATCCTTTTCTCCAAAGAAATAAAAATAAATACATCTTTTTAAAGTAAATGAAAATAGGATAAATACAGGAATTACTGTGATGCTGAGCAACAAAGCTAAGTATATTGTTTCCTAAAATTATCCTAGGGAAATATAGCTGCTGCTTATGCACATCATTAAATCTCTGAACAGCGAAAATTCCAGGAATAATGAATCTTGCGTAGTATGTTTAGGCTGGCAAACACCTCGGGTGAAAAGACCATAAAAGTTCAAGTTTTCCCTTGCCATGGAGAATACCTTTAGTCATGCTTTTAATCTTTCCTAGAGGGGATGGAACTGACACATAGGAACCATCTGAAATAAAAAACCAGAATGAATTTTATGGAATTCAAAGACAGTATAAACACCTGTACTGATAAATGAATGAGGCAATGATTGCTTAAAGAACGAAAAATAAAGGGGTGAAAATACACATAAGCACACAAACACATACGATTGTGACGTTACATTGCTGCGTTCTTGAAAGTAATTTGTATATAGCTTCACTAAGCGCTGTAGAACGATACTGACTCTCGCTGGTGTTAAAGGCCAGTAGCCTTCTGTGTCAGCTAGATTCTGAAAAGGAACTCAGATCAGATTCACAAATGCTGACAACTGGGCTGCAAGCACATCGCACTGTTCAGTTCACTGACCAGGTTTTTCCAGAAGACTCAGCTTTCTCCAGGTACCAAAAATTTCGTCTCTTGTTTTTCTGCTTAAGTGGGAGCTGAGTTCTTTGAACAATCAGCATTAAAAAATCTGTCTGGGTGTGTTAATTGCTTTCCAAAATAAATTTCCAATACGTGCATAAACTTAGAGACCCCTAAAGATTTACGTACACTTGAGATATACCAAAGCTAAACCTGGAACAGGTCAAACTACTCTGCAGAGCTGGAAAGGTAGGAAGCAGATGGATCCTGCCGCTGACTGTAGGGTTGCTCCTCTTTCCACGCAGGAGGAGTCGATGACCTGGGCAAGCACAACGTGTAACGTACTCACCTTCCCTGTGGTCAGCCTCCTCAACACACTGCAAAATGTTCTGTTCATCAACTGCGGCGTTAACGTTCTTCTTGCCGCTTGTCATTTAGTTGCCCGTACGAATGAGTATTTTTGTAGCAAAAAGGGTAATTAATTTTTCCCAAGGGGGAATTAGATATCCAAAGGTGTTAAAAAATACGAAGGGGACTGGGTATAGAAATATACCGAATGTCAGTAATCAAAGAAACATCAGAGTTAAACAACACTAAGAGACTGGCTCAACAGGGTATTAAGGATGCAAAAAGGTATGAGTAATGATTACTAGGGACTGATCCTCACCTCACAGCTTTTAGCTTTTCTTTCTAGCGAGTAATACAAAGTGACAACTCTATTTTGAGATAAAGGAAGAATTTTGACATAAATAGAAGGTACTTGGAAAATGGGGATTCTCATGACACTAATTTTCTTTGTGCCAGACAGAATTGATCCAAAGCTCCCTGACACCCGTGGAACATTCCCAGAGACTTCAGCGGTCTTTGGATCAGACCCTTCAGTTAGAGAGTAAAGTGATTTCTCAGACCATACCTCCTCCAGGTTGTGAGTATTCATTACAGGGTGAGTCATCCTGAGGTCTCTTATAATGCTTCAGAAGGGTCACAATGGCGTCGTGACCTAAGAAAGAAAGAGGAAACATAAGGATTTGCAGGTAAATGCAATAGTCTTTTTTTTTAAGTTGATTTATACAATATTAGGGGATTTTTAAAGAAAAGTACAATGTGCCTATAAAACATGTAAACAAAGATACAGCGGTGCTAATCTGAAACATACTATGATTCTTAACTACAGAAATATAGGAAAATACCTGCCAATAAAACCAAGCATGTTATTTTCACGAGCCCACCTAGTCCTAAGATGCGATATATGACAATAGAAAAAACCCTGCTACAGAAATCCTAAAATGGAAGTTGACCACAGTCTTTAATAGGCCTTTTGAGGACAACCAGTGCCTGAAAATATTTCAGCTCTGGTGTCCTAAACTGGACAAAATTTGTACACTAGATTACTGTAGACAGTTGCTATACTCATCATTCTCCTTTGCAAGGAACCAGAAGAGAGCGGAGTACGCACAGCATGCTCACTCTCTCGGATGTTTGATGCACAAAGTTCTGCTTGGCAACATTCAAAATTCTTTTCTAAACCTTTCAAAGATGAGTAATTTCATACAGAGTATTTTGCCAATGTCAGGTTTTTGAAAGGCCCTTGAAAGCCACAGTTTCACTATATTACATGGTACCGCAGTGCTTTTGGAGGGGGGGGGGAATGTCCCAGAATCCTCCAACTTTAACTTATATTTTCCCCCATCCCCTAGAAAACATATGGGAAAGAAGAGCATTTTCCAGTGCTTGCTTTGTGCTCACTGTAAACGGCTGGGCTCAGCACTGCTTATTCGTACACCCCGGCCGATGGGAAATGTTCCTCTTCGCTGCTTACAAAGCTGAGAGCAGGCAAGAGGAGGAGGAAAAGACACGCATTCGTACTGAGGGCACGATGCTTGGGTCACGTACCAAATGCTACCTATCATTTCCTGCTCCTTCAGCTGCAAAGTTTGTCGGCATTTCTTTACGGATATTTTTCACTAATACGCTAATGAGTACAAACTTCTTGGCTTATAATAAGCCAGGGAAAGACCAGTAAGCCCACAAGTTACGGAAGGGTTGTTTGCTAGATCCTCTAGGGTCCTGCAAAAAACTTACAACTCCAACTCTTAAGGGTGCTAGAGGCAGCAGACGAGGCAGAGGCTCTTCTGCTGACTCTCGCCCTGTTAGCAGAAGCTACCTTCTACAGGAAAGAAGTGCTGCTGACTCACTAGGCTGCCCGGGACAAGAGCTCATGCCAAAGAGTGTCAGCATAATGGAACAATTCTCTAAAACACAGGAATTTAAATCAAGGACAGGTTTTTACAGATAGCAGCTTTCTGGACATCCAAACTTAGATGATGCTTGAACTAAACATTGGAAGTGCTACTACTTAAATTAACATAAATGGTAACCCAAAGAAGATGGCCGCTTCTTTACCCAAGCGATGAAGAAACTGCTTAAATAGGCTTCCACAGTCCGTAGGGATGGAACGGCAATGCCAGGAAGAATAAACTGAAGGGCATCCCACATAAATGCGTGGCTCTCAAACACCGATGAAATCCATAAATGGATGTGAACATCAAAAACATTTTCAGGAATAAATAAAGCTTTTTATTTGTGTGGAGTCATATAGGACAGTATAACAGGAACCATGGAAAACGCCTTGCTTTGATCTGTATTTGCAAGAATTTAAGATTACTGACTCTGATTCATCGCTCCTTGTAATGCCTCCTTCAGTAATAAAAGTAAAACTCCTCAGGCACATACCAGCGGGAGAAATAGCCTTTTGTGAGCGGGCTGCATGTTTTCTATTTTAGCAGTACATAAATACTCCTGTCCTTGAGTTTATGTTGAATTAAACTGATGTTTAACAGAGTATCTGAGAAGAGAAAGGGGTGTTTTTTATAACCCTTCGTGCCAGGAACTGGAAAGCAGATGGTGAGAGCTCTTAGTCTACAGGGACTGAGGGGTTATTTTGTACTGTTCTCTGCCTCCTGTACTGTTCTTACGGATTTTGTAGCAGAAACAAGAAAACTGAAATACCTTTCTCATAAGCCCACATCAAACAGGTTTGCTCATCCTTTTCTCCACTGGACCTGCTGGGATCACAAGCTACCAGATTCATATCAGCTCCATTATCCAGTAAAAACTGTACAAGTCGAATATGACCATGGTAGCAAGCACAGTGTAATCCTAGAACATCAGAGAAGCATGGTAAACGCAACCGTCAGAACATCAGGATAGGACTTGCAGCAACAACTATAAAGCACAAATTGATTTCCTCGATAAAGGAATATATTAGCAAAAAAACCCCTGAGGCAATAAGTGAAAATAAAGTATTAACGCTGCAAGAACCAATCTATTGCCTGCTACACAACAGGTCAGCATTTACTCTACCACCCGCAAATCACATTTAACAACTTTGTATGTGAGGAAAAGCAAGTAGAAACAAAGGCGGCTCCTTTTTTCGTTGCCTGTAGTAGGGACATGGAGGTGTGCAGCCCCTCAGACACTATATCTTATATGCCCAGACCCTAGCAGAACAATAGCGGGCCCAATTCTTAAAACTGCTTAGAAGCCTAACTATTGGAGAATCCGTTTACATCAGGTTTTGTTACTCATATACAAGCTAACGAGCCTAACACATCCTCACTGAACTCTTATCACTTCTATGCCTGCCTGCAAACATATTTCAAAAAAATTGAGATCTGTCTGAAAGGTAATTGGATGCTGATCATTGAATTATGACGGGAATTACCCTGGAAATCCTGATCGTGTATACGGCTTCCAAATTTTTCAGTGCTGGTATATGCACTCATACACAAGAAGGATGATGGTGTTACCTGTATGTCCATCTCTTCCCTGGTGATTGATGCTTACAACATTCTGGTCAAGAAGAAATTTTACAAGTTCTATGTTCTTTCCATAGGTGCAAGCACTGCAAAAATAAAGGGAAAAGTGAATGCTATAGTCCATAAAAGGACAAATACTTTGGGTAGCCAAAAATTTAAAGAGAATTACACAGAGATAAAAACACAGTAATAGAATAAAAGATCTTTAGGAATGTGCAAATGCATGATTAATCCACCAAAGCATGTTCATTTCTGACATTTCAGAAACATTCTAATTATTCTTGCATAAATTAACTTTGCACAGCTATGCAAAATTGATACAGTCTGTTTTGCAAAGTGCCTCTTAAACAACGCTTTACAAACTTACAGCATCATGACCAAACTGCGTTCTGCCGCCTCATTTCTAATTGAGAATATCTAGACTCCAGCAGGTTTCTAGGCAGAACAGGCTCTAAACTTAGCTTCCACACTGGACGGAAAGAGAAACCGTTATCCACACAGATGTGGACGAACCTGATGCCTTTCCACCTTTCTCTCTCTTGCTTGCTCTCTCTCTCCCCATTCACTATCTGGTTCTACCTCTTACTTCATGTCCTCTCCTGTATCTCAAGATACAAACTTAACATCCATGCCGAGCTCGCTGCTTGCTTTGTTCCTCATCTGGCTGTTGGCGAGACGTTTGTTATTTCGGGTGTTGTATTGCATGCCTGTGTAAGTGGAATTCTATTGATAATGGTGTTTAAACATCTCACCTGTGGAAAGCCGTTTCACTGAATATATTTTCTTTAGTGAGACTTTCTGTTCCTGAGAGCTGAATTATTTCCTTGACAACTTCAAACTTTCCATTGTAACACGCACTGAAGACGAAGTCAGTAAAGAGTTGTTAACACCACCAGCTTTCTAGTTATACCCAAACTATGTAAAAGAGAGCTTCTCTGCGTGACTCACAGGTGTAAAGGTGTGTCTCCATAGATATTCACCACATGGGGTTGAACTTCGAAGCTGCTCTGGAGTAAGAACTTCACAATTTCATGGTGTCCAAATCGACAGCAGAAATGCAGAGGAACATGATCTTCATTGTCCTGAGCATTCACTGCCATTTGACCCAGAAAGAGACCAAAGAAAGTATTTTATAATTAACATAGCTTGGTTTGGATATTTAGTAATGCTTTACGTGTTGTGCATATATGTTATGAAACCTCCTGTTAAAATATTTATGGTCCTATTTCTTTAAAATTGAAATTTCTGTGAGCTTTCATGTATCAAAACTACATTACTCAGTGTCATCTGTAGTACACCATCAAGAGGATTTTTTGGACGTAGGGTATAATTGCTTTCTTCCAGTAGCAGATGTATTCAATGTTTTGATGTAGCTTTCCGTGAATGAATCACAAGTTATAAATGACCCTTAGAAAGAGCAATTGCTGTCAGTATATTACAATGTGAAGCAAAAGTAAGATAGGTAGTTACTATATGTAAGAAAGCAATCCACCGAGTTATTCCAAACGCATGGAAGAATAGTTAATTACAAATACTAGGAAGAAACATACTTCATTGTTGCTCTTAGGAAAGGAAAATCCAGTTGGTTTTAAGGTTTATGTTAGCTTCCTTGAGTAGCAGGATCAAGGATTCTTGATATAGTTATACAGTGACGAAAAAGAAATTTTAAAAAAATAAACGAGACACAATAAAGATATATTTTTCGTAGTCACTATTAAAATATAAATACATAAAAGGCAAGAAAGGAAGAGGAGAATTCATTCAAACGTCTGGATTACCAATGTTTTCATTTTGCTCAATGTCTCCTTTCACCTGCAAGGATGATTATGTATGTGCTTCACATATTTAAGAGGATGGGAGTATTCTTGGACAGAACATGAAACTATATAAAAGAATGGGCAAAATTGGAGACACAGGATATTATTGTTGGGTGGGAATGGTATTTATCTCTGTTGGTTCAATATAATTTCACATGGGAAACAAACACTGTGTGTTACAAAGGTCTTGTTCTGTTTAAGAGATTTGCCCTTCTAGTGCTTTATGTCATAAAATCAAGCATTGTGTATGTTGCACACAACTTGTAGAAATATATCCAATAAAAGTATTTTTTTCTAAATTTCTGAAGACCAATTCTTGTATCCTTCTACCTGCAAAACCAGTTGTTTTAATCTTATACAATTGTATAAGATTAAAAGCAAAAGAAAACTGAAACTCATTCATTCTAAATACCTCTCAAATAAGCATGAAGGATTTGAATTTGATGTGATTTCTTAAACTCCTGGCTAGCTCATATTCTCAGACATTTTGGGCAAAATTGTAGGGTTGTTGTAGGATAGACAATATTGGCAAGCAATGAGGGAATTTTAAAAAATTCATTGATTCAATTGTCTTTCAGTAAGACCAAGATTCTTTCTTGAAGATTCGGGTCCCAGTTCAGCAAAGCACTTGGAAACCTATCAGTAAGTGATCTGTTAGATCAAAAAGTTGTTTCAGCTAGCATGCAGAAGCAGATTCACATTTCTGAAACCATCTAATTTTGACTGCTGTTTTAGTATAGCAAACACTAATACTACACACTTTTTATCATGAACTTCTATTTAAAAATGATTCTGTAATAGAACAACATAAACCCAACAATTCTTGAGAGTAGTTATTATCAAGTGAACAGTGTGAGGCTACGGCCACATGTGTACTAATAACGTAAGTATGACTGGGAACATTCCTGGCCTTGAGGCCAAGATCGCAGAAGTGCTGGTGTCTACCAAAAGCACCAGTCTGTTTTAGGGGCAGTTGCATGCAACCTGTCAACTCGGAGCCGTCCCTGGAAGATCCTTGAGCCACAGGCGGGAATTGTTTGAGACTGCCAGTTATCCTGGGCCACATCCATGCCAGGGAGCCTTCTCTCTGTTTACAGGATAGGCAGTTGCATTCCAGCACCTGGGATGCTGGAATGGGTACGGCATGCCTGAAATGGGTACGGATATACCTTATAGGTCTCTTTCTTTCTCTATCTAGTGGAAAGCAAGGAAGAGATTGGACAAGGCTCTAGGCAGAGCTCTCCATTGGTGCAGAGGCAAACAAATACTGTTTTCATTATCCAAAAAAGATCTTTATTCAGTTTTAAAAGAGAGCATGTATCTCTGTGATTCTTAGTGTATTTCTTTCTATGTTTAAAGATGGAACAACCGTAACTGGTTGATACCATCACTGATAGATTTAACAAATCCAGCCTACTTTGTACATTTAGTCTCAATTCAGCCTGGCACCAGATTTTTGAGACAGTTTACAAGAAATTAATAGACTACTAAGGAATAATCTGTCCATTAGAGGTGTCCAAACTTGTACTATGCAGGCTTTTAAGCACAACTTTGACAAACATCTCTCAGGAACAATTCTTTCCTATAGCTGAGCCTCCTTGGGACAAAGGGTAAACCACACACATTCTGAGGTTCTGTCTTCTTTCGACTCTTTGTCAGTATAAGGAACAATGAAAATTAAAACAAATCCCTGTTTTAAAACCTTCCTGAAGTAATGCTGAATGCTCACAGAAATGTACAGTCCTTTAAAATGAGCTGCACTTCTAACTTCACTGATGTCTAGTGACAGATAGTTCCAAAGATGAATTATGTTACAGGTCAAAAAAAAGAAAAAGAATTCCTGTAAATTATATTAAGCTCGTGGCCCGCAAATTTCATTAACTGCCCCCACTAACCTTCCTAGCAGTCTTATATTAAAAGGACTAAAGAGAAGTAAACTGTTTTATTTCTCTATTCTAAAATAATTCTTCACTTTATAGATTCATGTGACACGTTAGCCTTTATTTTTTATTATGATGTGGTACCAGACAAAGATTCATTCTGAAGTGCAATAAATAAGAGGGGAATAAATGTCAAAGTTTTATAATAATAAATGTCAGCATTTCAGAATATGTACCCACAGAATGGCCTGAAGGACATCAGGGGTCTCAGGGCCATGAGCTTCTACAACACAACAAGGTGCAAGATGGAGCAAGGGAGGAAACGTGTATCTTCTCCTTTGTTTGTGCAGTTGGAAATGATGTCAAATACTCGCAAGACATTTCCTTTGCCTCTGGAAGGATATATAACTACAGCATGGGATGATGGTTTTTGTTCTAATTGATAGCTTTTTGATTTCTAAATGAAACACGACAGGTAAACTGGAATATTGTCTTAAAAAGGTGGAGAATTTCAGAGTCAAACCAAAACAAAACCAGTCAAAAACACTTTAGAAGAGAGTTATGGCAAAAAAGTACATCATATTGATTCAGGAATTACTAAAGAAGAGTACAGAAGAATTCTTCAAATTGAGATTTTAAAGTATTTTTATATTAAATCCAGGATAGATAGTACAACTCTCATGGCAGTCAGAAACTAAAAATTCAGGTTGCCTTACAAGCAGACAGTAAAAATGGGCAAATGCTAAGTTTTTGCCAGGAACAAAATGGAGTACTGTAGAAATTATTCTTAGGGCTGAGACATAACGTAGGTAGAAATTAACAGGTGAAACCATTTCAGTAAGTAAAAGGATGGAAAAAAGACAGTGCAAGTCTGTTTTAAAAAAATAAGGGAAATTTCCCAAGTCTCGATGAGCGATATCTGTTTAATATTCAGAGAAGCATGACTGAACGTCCCTAGATTTTTAATATTAAACTCTGGTTTTAAATTTAAAATTGATTGTATTTGGCAGAGATGACAATGATTTTCAAAGATACTTGAAAAAAGAGGAGCTGCAAGGCAGCTCAGTAGTCCTGAAAGCAGACAAGTTTTACTAAAAGACCACAGAAGTTATAAAGACAAAGAATATATTTTATATCACATGGTCCCTGAAAGAAATCTCCAGGACCACCAGTTTGAAGAATAATAAAAAACAGCATTTAGCTTATGTGAAGCAAAGGAAATGCTTATTTCCCGGCCATCAGCTAGTTCTCTAAGTTTGTAGATACTCTGTTTCTTAGCTACCCCATCAGGCTATAAAACAGTTTTTAAAATATGACTTTTTTCTTTCATTTTGAAAGGAACGGTTTTTGAAGTCATGCAAACATCTACATTAGGAGTCCTACTTCTACATTCAAGCATTGGAGAAGCAATTATTTCCAGGCCCTCCCTGATTTCAAAGAAATTCTAAATTACCATTAATTTTTTTAAAAAACCCACTCTTCATTCGCCCATTCCTTTTTCTGCTGGAGTTGGGACACCAGCAGAAGTGTGGCCAGCTGGTAACACAAAAACAGGCAAAACCCACAGCTCTTTATTTTTAATAATCAAGTTTATCTTCCTTCATGTAAGTGGCAGAGGAGACCGAGGAACAATAAATAATTAGATGACGTGGACTTTGGTTCAGAAGTCAGCCCTCCTGAGACACAAGCAGGTACCCTTCTGATTACCTAAAGGGCTCAGCAGCTCGACAAGACACTTCTCAAGGTCAAGACCAGACCCAGCCCACTGTTAAAACTAGCGAGTCATCAGGATCTAACATGTGTGGCTGAATATTAGTTCTTAGAAACTATATAAAGTCAGGTGTGGACGTGAGTATAGTGAAGCTACCAGAAAAGCAAGAAGGAGACAAAAGTTCAGCCCGATGAAATGAGGAAAGAGCATGGCTGTTTAGGAATACTGGTGGTTTCTCATAGTAATGAACTTCCTTTTCTACTTTACTTTAAGAAAAACCCCTTCTCTTCATTTTGTTTATTACAATTACCCTAGAAAAAATCTACCAGATTACAAGAATGAATCAAACATTATGAAGCGATACTTTGACCCCAATTATTGCTACATTCTACCAGTTGGATATTCTAAAATATAAAACTGAATTTCCTGACAGAATAAATAATGCAAGCTGGTAGAAATTACATTGACTCAGTAATGCAAAAAAATCTCCAGGAGTTTGGAAGGAGTGAAAAAAGAAAGAAGGAAATAGAAGTTGTTAAAAATAAAAACAGAAATTCCATACTAAATCAGTTCGAAAAAATCTCAAGATTGTTAAGGCACTTTAAGTGATAGTAGCTTGTAATGGCATGCTGGTCTTTGAGATATATTAATGATCTCAAAATGAATTTGGAGCTTAAAGGAATAATCCGACCAATACCTCAAGAAATGTGCTTGAAAGACCTTATGTGATTTCTGGAAATACACAGATTTCTGCAAATACACAAAACTACTTAGTCCTTCCCTACAGTGTTTATGTCAAAACACATTATGACATTAGCATCTGGAGAACCAACTGTACTTGTAACATACTGGTTTTATATACATGCATATGTAAAATATGAACATCTGTGATGATATATACATGGGTAGTACGTTTTTTTAATATGTTTTTCTTATATATTATGGTTGGGTTGAAGAAGAACTTTGGCTATTGTTAGACTGCAAATGTTGCTATATTTCAGCAGTATTCTGACCTTTTCAGTGTGATTCAGTGGTCACCGTTTTTCTCCAGTTGCCATGGCCCCAGAGCTGATCAACGAGTGAGTCAAGTTATGTTAAAAGAAATAGTTCAAGTTTATGACACCAATTACTGGTCTGCACAGAACACTGCCAAAATTTCTTCAGGTTATTTCACCAATTACTTTTATTCCTAGGGATTTAAGCGTTGTTCCTCTGCTGCTATATTTATACCAAGTTTCAAAGTGTTCTACTTTGTGAGTGAAAGATTTCCCGCTTCCAGTCTCCTTTTTCTTTTTCCAATGCTGAAGATTTTAAAGAAAAGAATCTGAAACGGTGTCCCAGATTCTTTTCCTTTTGGAATAAACTATCTAACTAGTAGTGAACCTCCCACTGCTTTGTTATGGTGAGTGAACATCTCTTCTTTTCCCCCTCTTTATTATATCAGCTCTGTGCACACACATCGAGGCTGAAACATCAAGAGCTCACTATTGAAAAAAGTACTTACAAATCTGAGTCATGCTGTTTCCCTCCACACTTTTTTTACTGCGCGAGTAAGATGTGTGTGCTGTAGGCAAGACCCACAGAGAATGGTAAATTTATACTTTAAACTCTAGCATAGAAGGGGAAACTGGGGAGAAACACAGCCTTCGTGCCACTAGCAGAGTAGGAACAGGGGTACGTGGATGCTGCTGCTTTTGGCACTACTGGGCATACTGAGCAAGGAAGAAGCCTTGTGGGCTCTTGTCCCTGCTTTAACATTGTTAAGGAATGACAGTGCCTTACAGAGTCAGCACCGAAGACTGAGAACACAGAACTTGTGCAAAATGACCACTCGACTGTCCTCTCCTGAAGTCAGTGGGGTATTGGGCCAGGTGAGATCAGGAAAGAACTGAGCCTGGCAACTGAACGTGCTTTTCAAATGTGCCTATACAGCATCCCTTTTTAACCTTCCCCTCTTATGCTCTACTGTTTTTAATTCATGAATAGCTGTGTGCATAGACTGGAGCCAGATATCAAATAGGATGCTAGATTGAGAAGCAGCAACTGAAGAATTTTGACAACTTCTTGTTCTTTGTATAACATGCAGGATTCTTGCAACAAATGCTTTTTTGTTTGCTTGTTTGTTTCTTGTTTGTCCAGTTCTGCTTTTCCAACAACAGATTGTGATATCCCTAGGCAAAATCCTAACCCCATTGAAATTAATGAAAACTTTGCCATAGACTTCGAGGGGACCAAGATTTTACCTTGTATGTTGTGGATATAAGTTAACAAGAGTAATGATGTGGTCCAAAGATGTATTGAAGAGCAGTACTTTTGCAAGTAATGTACTGTTCCTTTTCAAAAAACCTTCTTTCTCTGGTTCTGAGGATAAGAAATTAATTTCCAAATAATTTTAATGTTGTTTAGTAGGTAAGAACCAATGCATTAATATTCATAATATGCATAAAATTTGACCTCTAAGTTTTAGCATGTATAAGACTTTGTAGGATGTGGCCACAAGCGTGAATGCACATGCCTACGATACAAGTGTCACAGCAATGGAAAAGTAAGGCTGGAGTGTGGTATGTTTTGTGCCTTCTATACTGCTGAAACAGCAGAAGGAGAGGGAACAAAAGAGCAAGCATAAGAATTCAGCAGTACTATTAATTGCACGCTAATATTAATTACAATGGAAAATATTTTAAATTGCGGCACATGCAAAATATACAGCACTGAACTCTAATATTATAGTCTTACTGGCATCGGTGTGAGGTCACCTGTAAAAAGAACGTACAGACTCCTGACTTTCACAAAATACCAAAAGCATGCTAACAGACTTTTGTATCTGTCCAACCCATTATGTCTCTCACACACACTTTCTCTTACAGAAAAGATCCCACAACGAAGCATATGAAGCTTGTGTAGCATAATACAGCATATGTTAAAAAGATTCCATTTTCTGTGGAATTGTTTGTGAACCATTTGCAATTTCTCATCTGAATTATTTTAAATTACTTGCTGTACAATTTTGACTTAAAATCCTTCGTCTGTATCTCATTCACCAGGAGCTCACTTTGCACTGAAATACTTTTGATTGGAGATACATACCACACGGCCGCGTGTTCTCCGATCGGACGAGTGTCTCAATAGTACGCTGCCTATGCATATTAATCTTGATTTTGTTTTCTGCTGCTGTTTGTCACCTCTAACTTATTAACGGAAACAGAATGCACGTGAAATGGCAAAACCCAAGCATACTTAAGAAGTGAAGAAAACTCTCCAACTGCTATTTTTTTGCTTCAGTTGCCCAAATATGATACACAAACACACACGTGTTAGGAAGCTAAATTCAAGATTAAAGGCCTGACTCTGTCTATAAAATACAATGTTAAAGTTGGTTTTTTAACATATCTTTTCTTACCATCAGCTTTGCTTCCCTCTTCCATCAAGAGCTTTGTAATATTGAGAAAGCCTTTGGCAGAAGCCAAATGGAGAGGTCTGTCTCCAACTTCACCGCTTGCATTCACATCAGCTCCGAACTTTAGTAAGAGGTGGGTTACCTAAATATTTCATCAAGGCTAATTAAAATATCACATGAAAATAAATCTTTTGACAAAATCAGGTAGAATATTGCATTGGGTAATACTGTAAGTGGGCATCTCTTTAAGGTTTAAACATGGAGAGGAGATTCAATAGAAAACTCATTTTTAAGTTACACATCTATAAAAATACTAAAATTCTCAAAGGCAAGTGCTCATTCGTTCTCTGAAAAGTTATGTGTGGTAAAGGGCTAGACACAAGACAGGTATTTGTTTAACTGACCAGTCAGCGTAATAAAGCAAGTGCCCTCAAAGTCCACAAATGTCAGGGCCCTCGCTGCCTTTCTGGCCTGTGTCTCTTACCACAAGAGCACCATATGAGCTTTTAGCATAATTTCACAAGACTGTGACTATTTGTTCAGAAGCGGCTTATGGCAAATAAGCAAATTAATCTCAGCCCAGCGTGCAAGGAGTTTCTTGATGTTACTGGATGATGAGGCGCATATATATGAAAAGAAGGATCTCAGGAAGACATCCATGGTTCACAGCCCTGCTGTCACTCAGCCACAGGAGCAGAGCATTTTCAATCGTCTGTGCACCTGGACTCTGTTCTTTCAAAAGCTTTTCCTACAACAATTCCTCAACGCACTCGAAGTAACACGCCGCTGAAATGAAAAATGCACTCTACCTAGAGGTCATCCTTTGAAACTTGAAAATATCCCAGAATACATGCTTTTAGCCAAAGAAAGGTATAGGGAATGTCTTGCATAAGCCAAAATAGACCCATTATTACATTTCACATAAAAGGGCTATTCAGGGCAAATGACTGGACTGCTAGATTAACTGTATGTCAATTATACTTTAGTAAAAGAAAGAGAATTGGGAGGTTAAATGCCAGCTTTGGTCAGAACTTCAGATTTTGTTTCAATAAGTCTGCGACCTGTGTGAATGAAGCAAGCACAGCTGGACTTGTCACGTGCACAGTACCTCATGGAAAACCCTGCTCTCTAAGTGATCACTTTTTCTGTTAACTTAAAAGAGGCCACAATTTAGTTTGTGAATTCCAAGGAAAACCAATAGAATTTCCATTTAATTATTACCGGGAAGTGATGTTCACTTCCTTAGGGAGGCTTAAGATAGTATACTCACATTCCTTATGCACTCTCTGAAATGTGGGATGAATAAGCATCAAATGAAATATGCCTCTGGGTCCAAGCCTGTTTATAGGCTATCAAAGCTAGCTAGACAATCATTTATTTCAAGAGGTCTAGAGGGGAAGATACCAATTTTTGCTGGGGTCTTGCACAGAGGATTAAAGTGTAGAAATTTCCTGTTGATAGTCAGACTCTTAGAGCAACTAGTGATTGACTTAGAAGTGTAACTTCAGCATGTGAGGCCTTTTCATGGTAGGACCCTCTGGAATGTGAAGCAAAAATATCTAACACTAACCCTATAGCTGCCTCGGTGTTCCACTTCTCAGCTTTCTGAAATTCCCCCATTTAGTTACCTGTTCATGGCCATAATATGCAGCAATATGCAATGGGGTGAAAAAAACTGCATCCTGAACATTCACGTAAGCTCCATGCTGCAAAAGAATATCAACAGCCTAGAAGGAAACAAACAGAAAATTCCAATTTACAAGCACTATATATATGGTCAGCTAGTGAAACAAGATTTTGAAACCTTACATCACCAGTTTAAAAAATAGCAAAAAGCCCCAAACAGGCAAGCTATAAAGGTGAAGAACTGCATACAACATGTAAAAGTGATTAACTTACAGTACTTTAACTGAACACTGAATGTCACTGATGCTTTATAAATAAGCCTGAAAACGTGTTTGTGAGTAAAAAGACTGACTTATGAAGTAAGAGGCACAGAAACGACTGTCTGGAGTTTCTCAGAATAACCTTTAATTTTCTTTTAACCATTATGAACAAAGAGCAGTAAACATCTCAGAGTTTTTAGAAGTAAAAAAAAAAAAAACCAAAATGAAAGATCCTTTTAAATGTAAATGTGTGAAGGTAAATCCTCAAGCATAATTCCCTTAGTGTGTAGAGATTTCTTTGTATTTTAGAAGATAATAGCCGTTTGGCTTCAATAAATAAGTGTTTTCTTTCAAATTTCCACTTTTTTGGTCTTTCAGGGGGGCCAATGTTTTCCTGGACAGCTATGAATTGTCGAACATTGGTTTTCTGAATAACTGTCAAAATAGAAGTCTGAATGAAACCACTTTGGATTATATATTGAAGCCTAAGGGCTGCTAATTTTTCTGAAGCACAGGGGAGCCTTTATGCACGCTAAGGGGCTTGTGCCATGGATTATTTGAGTAGTTCTACATATAATTTTGATGAATGTTAATTTTTGAGTCTAATGATGATGAAAAATGCTGGACCGTGAATCACCCACCATACAGTGAGCAATTGGGAAACACCTCCCTGGCAATCAGAAGAAATGACAAAGAAAGAGAAATGGCCAGCTTCTATGCTACGCTATTTATACCTGTACCTCCCCAGTGAGACTTCTGCCGATGATGCCAATTAATGCTAGCTGTGACGGTGCACATTTCTGTCAACTGCTACCGAAGCTGAGACCACCAGATCATTTCACACACGCAACAATGAGGCCAGTCATTTAAATCCATGTCATTCGCAAGTACTCAGAGAATGAAAACCTGTTACCAAGCAACATTAGTGTACAGGGATTATTTCTTTACACAATTTAAATTGAAATACATTTTTTCCGTGGGACTGACTGAATACATTTTGTGTGTAAGGTCCATTCCCTGACATATTAAAGTGTGTCCATTCCCCATTAGTTTTAACCATTTCACTATGGTATCCGCTGCAAGCCTGCCCTGGAAGCAGCACTGCAGGGCCATTTCTGTCTCTTCAGAATCCAAGGGCTTCAACAGGTCCAGCACATTATAGGAGGCACCTAAGTGTTGCAAGGACTAAGCCCTTCTCTTGAAGACAGGCTGGAGGAGGCGAGGATTGCTGTGTTCCTATGGAATTATTCTTCAGCACCTCTCCAGGTACAAACGATGGGGAATGTTGGCCCTCTGTGTCCGGTATTATTTTCCAGAAGCTAGAAGTATCCTGGGAGCATACTAGGCAGGACAGAAGCAATTCTGGTGTGAATGGGATAGGCAGTGAGCATCGCCTGTGAGTTAGATCACAAACGAGCCCCACAAATGCTGAGGCTTGTCTTTGGCTGCTGTGGTGGTGCTCCAGAGACACGTGAGTTCTGAGCATGTGGCAAGGGAGAAGGTGGGAGCTGGCAGGAGTGAGAGGACTCCTGAATGAAGGGAGTCCTGGGGGTGAACAGCATCCCCAGCAGCCATAGCCAGACTCTGCGGTTGACACAGAATCACATAAGCACTGAGGTTGGAAGGGAGCTCTGGAGATTGTCCAGTCCAGTGCCCCCACATAAAGCAGCGTCTCCTTGAGCAGGTGTCTCAGGGCCATGTCCAGTCAGGTTTTGAATACTGGCCAGTCTCTAAGGATGGAGACTCCACAACATCCCTGGAAACCTGTTCCAGTGTTCGAGCACCCTCACAGTAAAAAAGCCTTTTCTTCTGTTTAAATGGCATTTCCTGGATTTCAGTTTGTGCCCACTGCCATCCATCCTGTCACTGGGCACCTCTGAGAAGAGTCTGGCTCTCTCTTCTTTACTCCGCCCCCTCAGGTATTTGTACACATTGATAAGATCCCCCCAGAGCCTTCTCTGCTCCAGGCTGAACAATCCCAGCTCTGTCGGCTTCTCCTCCTATGTCAGATGCTCCAATCCATGAACCATCTTCATAGTCCTTTGCTGGACTCACTCCAGTATGTCCGTGTCTCTCTTCTCTGGGACACAGTACTCCAGGTGCCGCCTCACCAGTACTGAACAGAGGGGAAGAATCACCTCCCCCAAGCTGCTGGCAGCACTCTTCCTAATGCAGCCCAGGATGCCTTTTACAGCAAGGGCACATTGCTAGTTCATATACAACTTGTTGCCAACCAGGACTCCTAGGTCCATTTCTGCAAAGCTGCTTTCCAGCTGGTCAGCCCCCAGGGAAAGTAAAGTTCACATTTGAAAGAAGTAGAGACAATGAATCATAGAATGATTTAGGTTGGAAGGGCCCTCTGGAGCTGTCTGGTCCACTCTCCTGATCAAAGCAAGGTCTAGTTTCAAAGATGAGGTTGCTCAGGGCCTTGTCCAGTTGAATTCTGATTATTTCCAAGGATGGAGGTTCTGCATCCTCTCTGGAAAGCTTTCAGTGTTGCACCACTCTCATTGTGATCCCCCACCCAGAATTTCCCTTGCTAAATCTCATGTGCATTGACATCCTTTTGCTGTGCATCCTTTTGCTATGGATCTCGAAGAAGAGTTTGACTCCATAAAAAAAATCTTATGAAAGATCCCCTGAGATCTTTAGAGAAGCTGCCTACCCTTATATCAGCTGAAGAACAACTCAGTAACAGCCTTAACACATGCATTTATTGGGGAATGTTAACGTGTTCAGGTAGCAAATAAAGAAGACGCTCAGTTACCGGTTGGTTAACAGAACTGACTCCTTCCGTTGTGCATCCCATGTCCAGACAATTTTTAGTACACTAGCAGCTTGGTGGACCAGAGGAGGGGGAACACAGAGCCAGTTAGCCTGTGATTTAATGGCTTAAATTCATCATAGGCATTTTTCAGCAAACTACTATCATAAAACTGAAGTTGTAGCTGTTGGCTCTGAAGAGAGATGTTTGGACCTGTAGCTTTTACAAGAATATGATTGAAACTTCTTTAGATCAGTTTGGTTTTAATTTAGGCATGCCACTGTGAGGCTATAACACACTCAGGGATGTGACCACAACTCTGATTCTCCTTAATCTCTTTGGAAGCTGGAATTCAAAATGTAGATTCTTCTACAAGCTTCAAGGTGTATCTTTAAGATGAAGAAACTGTGTTGAGCAATGTGGATCCACCTCTTAAAACTAGATGCATTTTGACACATTTTTCCAGGCTGTAGAAATGGCAACCATGCTAGCTACTTTGTGATCCCCTGATAAAAAGAATTTTGTGAGTCATATTAAGCAAACTGCACTCAGCTGTAACTGATGAGAGGGGTACAGAAACAATCTTGATAGTTTCACAGAAAAGCTATCTTTCTAAGAAAGAAGAATGGAATCTTAGAAAACACTGAAGGTTGTCATAGGTGTTACAAGTAAGTGGGTATGCTGGAGTGATGTGCAAGGATAAAATTACTTCAGAAAGTAAGGGGAAAATTTCTGATGCAAAAAGGGCTCTAAATTCTCATAGAAAGACCAAAAAGAGACTTTTATCCTAAGGAGACAGACCATGACTAAAGGTGCAGCTTGTAACCTATGGGAAATTTTCAAGCTGCAGAGAAAGCAGCTCTTGCTGACTTTGTTTAGTGTTGCAGGGGGTCAACAGGACTGAGAACTGCAATGGTCAGCTAAGGTCTGTAGTCATCATCGCAGCCCAGAGGGGAGGGGAGGGGAGG